TAGATGGTATGATAAGAGATAAGTTTCTATTATCCATTAACTTTATATCTATTAACATGTAATTTGACTTAAATTTAAGATCTTGAATTTTTACCAAAAAAATTATTATTAAATTATTTAAATAATCGATAAATACTTATAAGATTAGTTGAGTATTTGTAATCTGTGGGGAAGTTTTTTCTTTGTAGCGCATGTGATGGACCATAGGACCAAGTCCAAAGTCAACCAAACCATGATAAGGGCAACTTCTCGTGTGGGAAATTTTATTACTTAATTGTCAACATTATAGAAAAAGGAAAGAACCTCTATTACTCCATATAATTCAGCCTCCTTAGAAATTAAAGTGGAAGTAGCTTATAATTCAAGCGGACGACCAAGTTTACTATGTATAAAGCAATTCAACAACGAAGGTCATTTGCAAGGAGTTGTGGTGGTTTGGTTGGCAATATGATTTTTTTTTACAATTTTTTTTATTAAAATTTAATTTTTTAGAGAAGTTAATGAGAATATAATTCTCCATAAATTTTTTAATTTTAGTGCCCATTACCTATCTTTGATTGGATTTCAGATGAAATCTTAATGTGGATGACATAATTTCAATTAAATTGAAAAAAAATTAATCTTAAAATGCATACAAATTAGTCTAAAAACACCTTATGCTAACTAGAAAAAAATCAGAAAGGTCATTGGCCAGGAACCACCCTCTTGCTGCCTATACATAATACGTTATACAACTCTGTCTCTGCTTATTAGAAAAATAAAAACACAAGATTTAGGGCACAAAATTATGCAAATGAAAGGTTAATGCGTCATTTTAGTTCCTTTATTTTAATAAAAAGTTCTTTTTTAATCCATCTACTTACAAAAATTTTTTTGTAGTTCTTAAAGTTTATTATTTGATTCCTTTTTAATCTCTCTGTAATTTTTTGCACATATATTACGTCAAATGATGAAAGTTTAGAAGTAAAAGGACTAAAAAAAGATTGAAAAAGTCCCTTTTGGTCCCTCAAAAACTTTTTTTTAGTAGCTAATCGTCATCTGTTATCTACTAAACTTTAACTATTATTTATATCAAACAAGCTCTAAGTAAAATATTAACCGAACTAAATTCAACTAACCTGAAGACATTGTGCAGTACTAGTACTTGTTTTAATCCCACAAATACTTGTTTTAATCCTTACAAACTAGAATCAATTATATGTTTGTTTGTCTGATTAAAAAGAATTTAATTTCTCTTAAATAAAGTTTTAAATTCAAGTTTAATAAATAAAAAAAACAAGTGTTAGGAGAGTTTTCCCTTATAGGGTCCGATGCAATTTCAAAATTTAATTAGGCTATTAGATACCAATAAGTTAACACAAAAAAAGAAAAATTCCTACAAATTGGAATCATAGGGCAGTACCATTGCATCCACATCAGCGATGGCTCTTGGCGCCCTGATCTTTTGAAAAGTTTTTAACTTTATCTCATAATTTTTTATT